AAAAATAGAAATTTGCCCTTAGGATGCACTAGCCTCTGACTCTCCTGCGCGCGTCACAGTCATTGCAGAATAATGCTGGGGTTGTCATCAAGCGTCATGATTGAAATAGTTAATCTTTCTTCTTCTGTTGCCTGTTCCACTCAGGGTTCAGCAGAGCAAAACATCAGCCTCCACCTCACCTTACTATTGTAGGCCCAGTCATCTGCAGGTCCTTCTGCATTATGTTCAGGAATCTTGTCTTCCACCTGCCTGCAGCTTAATTAACACTCACTAATTAAAGCTTTCTGATCAATACATGTGAACTAATGTTTCTTTACATCTGTGGCTCTACTGCTGTTTCTGTGGTTCCTGCAGCTCTGTTCTCATTTAGCTGTTAAATCCAGAAACACAAGCCATATAATCTATAGATTGGTCATTCCACTTCTGTTTAATTTAATCTCTTAACATTTACCGGCTCCTTAATGAAGCTATTTGTAGCTCCTGTTTTGGTGAAAGAGAAAGGACTGAACCATACCTGTCCCCCGATGCCGTCGTACTGTCGGTGCAGAAGCACAAACATGGCTCTCACCAGCTCTGGGTCCTCTATGACCGACTCCTGAGCCCAGCGGACCATGGTGTCCGAAATAAGCTGCTGTAACGTACCTGAAGAAATGGACAGAAGGGAGCTTAGAAAGCTGGAACAGAAGTCAAAGGGAAGATAACCTTCTGGATTTCTCTTTACCACACCAGCTTCACTCCTGAACAACTGAAAAATACCCAAACAACGAAGAGCTGAACACTAATGAACTGAAAATAACCATAAAAATAAAATGGACAAGTAAGTCCTTTATTCAATTTAGTTCAAAAATACTTTATTAATCCCAAAGGGAAATTAAATGTTGCAGAAACTCATAGGTTATTTTTTTTAAACATGTGTAGATGCTGTAGGCAGGAAGGATCTCCCGCAGAGGTCTGTCTACAGTAGATCTGGAGAAGCCTCTGACTGAAGATCCTCTGTTGGTTTTTAACAGTCTGATAAAGAGGAGGCTTACTGTTGTCCATCATCTTCTTCCTTCTCTGTGAAATCATCTCCAGATGTTATCAGGTTTGTTAACAGGATTCAACTTGTTCCTGTTTCTTCTGAAATCTCCAATCATCTCCTTAGTCAAGTCAGTCAGTTCATCCAGATTACCATCCTGCCTTCAAAGATTATTTCTCTGTGGGAGCCGCTCAGACCCCCACATACCGGCGGTGCGCTGTCACTGGGAATCCCCAGCAGCAGCTGCCTCAGTCGCCTCGTGGAGATTTTATTAGTGGCGGGTGGAAGTAGATGTATTAAGTGAATTTAGGTGTTAATAAACATTTTCAGAGGAGTGATCATAGAGCTCTGCATCAGCAGTGCTGCTTGTGAAGCGTGTCATGCGCCTCAGATGCTCAGAAGCGCATGACACGCTGCTCCTGCTGCTCTAGATGCTGCAGGACCTTTTGCTGCACCGTGATGCGCTTCAACCATTGAGTTTGCATGGAAACCAGCTGCTACTGCTGCAGTCTGAACCTAGCATTTTTCTTCATCCAGACATCTACAATGTTTGGTCATTAGAATATGATCTGCATTCTGACAAATAAACAGATGTATTTAAAAAAATAAATAAATACATCTGTTGTTCTACTTCATTCATAAACACATTTCCATTTGTATTTGCTTTGTAGATCAGCTTTGTGTCTCTTAACAGGTTAGCATGTGTCTTAATCAGTCAATCTTATAAAGATTAGAGCCTGATTGTTTTAGAAACACTCCCACAGGAACCATCACCTAGCGCTGGCGGTCCATGTGGAGATACCGTCTGTTGGAACCAACAGAGACTGGCTGGTCAATTCAGCTATTAATGTGTGTTTGGGATCTTACTGGGTTTTCTGTCCTTTTTTTCCTTCGGCAGGCTACTCATCTTCTTCTTGAGGTAGGACACCTTCTCCACCAGCGACATGAGGCGACCTCGAATAGTGAAGTCACTGTCACCATCGACTCCTCGCTCCTCATCCAGCTCTACAGCACAGCCACAGGGTGGAAACATTTTCCCCCATTAACCCTTTATTTAAATAACATTTCAGCTTTTATACTCGGCAGTGAAATGTTTTGGTTTTTAAACTGACCACAGTGTCTCATCAGATCTTCATGGAAGTCCAGCAGCTGCTCCCGGATGTACTCCGGACAGGGACACTCCCGCTTGCTGTCCTTGAAGTTCAGCAGCATGTTGATCTGGGAAGTTAATAGAGAGCTGGTGAAGATTCTCAATCATTTGGGTCATAGTGAATAAAAAACTAAACACTGGACTTTGTTTTAAAGTGCAAGG